AGGAGACCAAGGACCCAGAGAGATCGCCATGATGGGAAAGAAACTCGAATTCTTGTGACACAAAAACATATTTACTGAGTGCTTACTGATTCCAGACACTAAACTAAGTACTTTACATGCACGATCTTTTTTAATATTCACACAACCTAAGCACTAGGGTCTATTATTTTCTCCATTTACAGGTAAGGAAAGCACAACCTACAGAGGTTAGACAACACGCCCTATTAAGTGACAGAGCCGGGCCTTGAAGCCAGGCCTATGACACTAAAATCCATGTTCTTACCTCCTTTGTGATACTGTTTCAAAGATTACTATACTAAAAACTATGCCCACTAGGAAGCTCCTGAGAACATTTCTGCTTTCCCAAACTTGAGTAAATCTCACCTGGAAGCAAACTAAACCACAGAGGGCAAGAACACATCCTTTCAGGCCACGGGTGAGCCAGCCCTTTTTCCAAAAGTAGGCAGCAGGCAGGATGTATGCAAGGCCTACAAGGCGACCCCACATTCGGTGTGAGTACTCCATGTACCAGATGAACTTGAATTCCGCCAGCGTCATATCATGATTCAAGCTGGGTGAAAAGGGAAGTCAAAAATAAGAAAGATCCATCTGATTTTTATTTCTTGATAGAATGCAGGAACATTCTTGGTTTTTAAACTTGATCAGTCTGACATTTTCCTCATCAACCACCTCAGAATCACTTTGGAAATGGAGGTTTAGAGTAGGAAGCTCACTAAACATACCTAAATCAAATATCAAAAAAGAATAGAACCTACTGTTTTGAAATATTTTAAATAAGAAAAAGATTGAGTGGTTCTAGTAGGATGTTTACCAGATTTTCTATAATACTTACATTTTAAATTCTGGAAATTGCTGATATTTTTGGAATTCTGCTTCCCATTCCTCTTGGCTTGTGGGTGGCTTCATCTCCTTTATTAAATGCCAATCTACCATGGAGAGGCCAGACTCTGTCAGCCTTAAGGTAGGGAAGAAATTTGAGTGTGTGTGTTAAATTTCAGTGTATATGTCTGTGCACCACACTCCATTACTCATAAATGGTTTACAGTAGCAAGCAGATCTGAACTTGACCCCTATAAAAGTAAACATATAATTTCACTGTTTCCTCTTTTGACAACTTGCTCTTTTCTTACTGCTTAGAATTCTGTCAGAAAGAACTGCTATCAGGTACAAATTTCTTTACTCCTTGTTCTATTTCATTAAACTTTCCTTACTTCTTTCACTAGCATTCCCTGACAGATAAAATCAACCCTTAGACCAAAGAAATGTGCCCTAAGAGCATAACCAATATTATTTACACAAGGGGAAGAGATTGCTACAGACAGAAATCAGTTGAGGTTACTGAGTGAATTTAAAGTCAATAAAAATCAAAATTTATTGATTACAGGCTACATAACACATAAGGTAAGGGCACAGGGAATGCAAAGAGAATTTGAGGAAGACATACTTTAATAACATTAGAAAGTATTTTCACTAAAAGGGGTCAGGGTTCCAAAAGTAAAAAAGCTGACTTCAGGTCTGAGGCAAGACAAGCCTGGAACATCTTACCCAGAAAGCAAGGGATCAAAGTTTACCAGGTTCCTGTTAGAAAGACTGGAGTCAATCTGAAGAGGTTCCCACTGACTAAAGATAGGACAACTGGAGCAAATCATCACCACTGCAATGGACTGAAACAAATATTTAAACCTATGAGCTCATTAACACTTAAAAACTCACTTTATTGGTCACTTTTGGAAAATGCTTGGGAACCAACTTATTATTTTGAAGACTGATAAAGGGAAAGGAATTAAGTGTTTATCCTGCCTTTCCTAGCATGTTGTACCTCAGCATAACCAAATTACTGATGAAAGTTTTTCTTTATAGTTGAGCTAATAAAATACCTATTACAATTTTGCAACTCTAATGAAGTAACAGATTTAGGCAATGATCATCAAGGGCTGTTGACATCTTTAACAGACACCAGATATTTATGAATGATCCAGTCACCTATGAAGTGTTTTGCTCCCTGTCCCCAACCTGAACCTGATCAAGCAACAAGTTTGTCTACAGGAAATACAGGGGACAATGTTGTTGTTGTTGTTGTTGTTGTTGTTGTTGAGGTGCTCAGTCATGTCTGACTCTTTGCAATCCCGTGGACTGCAGCATGCCAGGCTTCCCTGTCCTTCACTATCTCCCAGAGTTTGCTCAAACTCATGTCCATTCAGTTGATGATGCCATCCAACCATCTCATCCTCTGTTGTCCCCTTCTCCTCCTGCCTTCAATCTTTCCCAGCATCAGGGTCTTTTCCAGTGAATCTGCTCTTTGCATCGGGTGGCCAGAGTATTAGAGTTTCAGCTTCAGCATCAGTCCTTCCAATGAATATTCAGAGTTGATTTCCTTTAGATTTGACTGGTTTGATCTCCCTGTTGTCCAAGGGACTCTCAAGAGTCTTCTTCAGCACCACAGTTTGAAAGCATCGATGCTTCGGTGCTCAGCCTTCATTATGGTCCAACTCTCATATCCATATATGACTACTGGGAAAACCATAGCTTTGACTATATGGGACTTTGTTGGCAAAGTGATGTTTCTGCTTTTTAATATGCTATCTAGGTTTGTCATAGCTTTTGGAACATGTTAAATACCATAAATGCTATTAGCAAAATCCAGACCGTGAGAAACTACAAAGTACAAATGACTTGGGTTTCTTCAACAACAGCAAAAAACTGCAAAGGGGGTAGGGGAGGTGGAGGGAGCAGAATCCAAATCTATAACATCTCTCTACAGATTTAAAGAGACCCAAGAAGCATGCACGGGCTTCCCAGGTGGCGCCAGTGATAAAGAACCCTCCTGCCAATACAGCAGACGTTAGAGACACAGGTTCGATCCCTGGGTTGGAAAGATCCCCTGGAGGAGGGCATGGCAACCCACTGCAGTATTCTTGCCTGGAGAATCCCATGGACAGGGGAGCCTGGTGGGCTACAGTCCAAGGGTCACAAAACATCGGACATGACTGAAGCAACCAAGCATGAAGCACATGCACAGGAACCAACAGTGAGATGTGGAACTTATTTGTGTGTAGTTCAAACAAACTGTACAGAAATTTTTGTGACAAATCTGAACTCTGATTGTAGGGGGAAATATACACAAACAATGCACAGCTAACAGTTAAGACCTGAACCAGTCTTTATGAAGGGCTTCTACTGCATGCATGCATTGGTAAAATCCTAGACTGTTCTATGGCGGGGCAAGCCATCAGACATGTTCCTCCTATAGGCCTCAATTTCTGCATACTAAAATGTGGGAGCTAGATTAGATGATTTCTAAGGTCCCTTCCCCCTCCGTCATCCTGCATGTCTACTGATGATCCAAACAGCTGACTATGAACAAATTACTCACCTTGTTACTCCACCAAGAATAACTGCTCCAGCCACTGTCCCACTGCAGACCAGGAGCCATCGGCCCACCGCCCGCTCAGCAGCCTTTGAAGGGAGGGATACTGTACCCCTTCCAGGTTGCAAAGCTACATTGGAGATAGTGCTGTATTGCCCTGGCCTCAAAGGGCGCCTGATCCCACAACTGCAACCACACTAAGGATCAAGACAGACAAATTACAACTGGAGAAAGAAGAAAAGCCTTCACTCCACGGCTACTCACACAGTCTCACTGTGTCTGGTATGAAGTATCCTGGTCATATTTCCACTGCTACTGTCCAGGTAAAACGTCATCTCTTATCTGGGCTGCATCTACCCCCAAGTGGTTTGCCTGCCTCCAATCCATCCCCACTACCTGAACCTTCTGTCTCTCATATTTCTCCAAGACTTAACTCTACACCTAAATATGGATTAAATAAGGATTATTTTCTTTTTTTTTTCAATATGATTTTTCTCTAACTGGGGTTCCACTTGTCCCCTGACTGACCTATCACAGATCTCAGCCTGGATGTCACCTCCTCTAGGAAGTATTCCCAGACCTCCCCCACCTCCCCATGTGTGCTGGGTCACTCTCCCAGCACACTATATCTCTCCATCACACAGCAGTGTATCATTTAGTACACAGAGGTTTGTCTCTATCTCCCACTAAGCTATGAGGTACAGGACAGCAGTGTCTGTTCAGTCTGGCTTCTACAAACTTCCTTTCATACACAATTCCTTTACATAACAAGACCTTAATAAAGATTTGACAAATGAGTTACAAACAAATGAACTGTGACTCCCTCTCAGGCAGGAGACTTGGTATTTTATCTTGCTTTCCAGACCCAGGGATCAAACCCGAGTCTCCTGAGTCTTCTGCATTGGCAGGTGTATTCTTTACCACTGAGCCACCTGCGAAGACCAGTTAACTAAGTAACCTTAGACAAATTAAGCCTCAATTTACTTCTCTGTAGAATGGAGTTACAGTCCCTAACCTGACTACCCAGTAGCTTTGAGCAGAAATCAAACACATGTGTAAAAATCACTGAGCTTTTACTATGTGCTAAACCTCTGTGTATATTATTTAATACAACACTTATGAAGTGCCATTATCCCCATTTTGCAGACGAGTAAATTGAGGCACAGAAAGGTTATCCAACTTGGCTAAGAGCACACAGCTAGTAAGTGGTAGGTCCGCATGCGAACTCAGGAGGCCTAGACACAATGAAATGCCTTGTGAACTTCAAGGAGCTACAGAAACGTGATGTGTGAGGATCTATTACCTCTTGGCCCTTTCACCCCATGCCCGCTTCCGCGACTCAGCGCGCTGCAGTGCGGTACCTGTGTTCTAGGCGCCACCCTAGGAACCAGGAGCCGGGGACACGGGCTCCCCAGCAAGGCCTTCAAGGGCGTAAAGAGTAATCGCTGCATAGTATACACGGTGCCCAACGACCACCTTCAGCCTCCTGTGCTCTCTGGTCCCCTTTCTCCGCCACCGACGGAAGAAGCACTTCCGGGTCACACAAACGAGCCCCTCCTCTTTGGAAGGCAGGGGCGAGCAGTAACTGCGCCTGCGCCAGTTTCTGGGCTTTCGCGGGGGCTGCTGGGGCGTGGAAGTCGGGGACGCGCAGGGATGCGCGCAGCTGGGAGGACGCGCCCGTCTGGTCGCGCGCCTTGGAACCCGGACTCTTTGAGTGGAAACCGAAGACGCACGAGGGAGGAACGCGTGGAGCATGAAGAGGCAGGGGGCCTCCTCCGAGCGGAAGCGGGCGCGGATACCATCCGGGAAGGCGGGTGCGGAAGGTGGCGGGATGGGGGCGGTGGCCGACTTTGCTGCGGGGTACGGGCCGGGCCGGGTCGGGCGGGGGTTCTGGCCCGTGGATCAATCGCGATTTCCCTGAAAGTACTTTCTCCTGCTCCTCACAAACACCCCCAGTGAGGCGTAATCTGTCATTCGGCTTTAAACATGTGGAATCTGAGGGACTGTTGGCGAGAGTGGCCGGGCTCTGGAGCCAGATATGTGTGTGGGTTCGAATTAGGCGCCCCCACGTCTCGTCGTGCGACCGTGTTCAAGTTGGTTAACTTCTGTCAGCCTCGCGTTTCCCATCGCCACACGAGGATACTGGTACCCCCTCACGGCAGCGCTGGATCAGTGTCTGACCTGGAGGGACTGCTTAATAACCCATAGCTGTTGCGGCGAGGATAGGGGTTGTGCCTAAAGCCACACCGCTCCGAAATGGCAAAGCTTGGCTGCCCCAAGTCAGGAGTTCTTCCTGCTGGTACAGGATCGGCTGGCATGGCAGGTGCTAGGGAATTTGCCAGGTTCCTCCTCCGGAAACTTGGTTCCTCCAAACTAGCGGTTCTGAAACTGATCGCAGGACTCTTTGATCCTCCTAAAATTATTGAGAACCTCAAAGACCTTTTATTTATATAGGTTAAACTTATTGATATTGGACATGTTAGAAATTAAAACAGGACATTTAAAAACAAAGGGTTTCCCTTGTGGCTCAGCAGGTAAAGAATCTGCCTGCAATGCGAGAGACCTGGGTTCGATCCCTGGGTTGGGAAGATCCCCTGGTGAAGGGAACGGCTGCCCACTCAGGTATTCTGGCCTGGATAAGTCCATGGGGGTCGCAAAGAGTCAGATAACGACTGAATGACTTTCACTTTGTTTCTTTCACAAACAGAAGCCCTGTGCATGTTGACACGTTTTATGGAAAAAAAAATCACTATTTTCCTAAGCAAACAAAAAATAGAATAGTACCAATGTTTTATATTTTTGCAAATCTCTTTAATGTCTGGCTTAATGAAATTCTCATTAACAATAGAGTGCTTTTGCATTCAGTGTGACAGGTAGCCTCTCGAAAACTCTACTCTGCCTGTGAGAGAATGAGGGTGAAAAAGGCAACTAAAATCTTGGTATTGTTATGAAAATAATTTTCATTGTACAGACTCTGAAAGTGTCTTAGAGGCCCTTAGTCCAGAGTTAACTGGACAGCTACACTGAGAACTGCTGCTCCAAACAAATCTCCTCTTTGATCCCTTCAAATAACTTCCTATTTTAGGACAACTGCCTTACTCTTTTCTTTTTGTCATAGCCTTTTATGTGCATCCTTACTCTCTCCTGGCCAAGATCTTTTTCTTTTTCTTTCTTTTTTTTTTTTTTGGCCACAGCCTGCAGCTTATGGGATTTTAGTCTCCTAACCAGGGACCCAGCTTGGGGCCCTGGCATTGAAAGCACCAGAGTCTCAACCACTGGTGCATGCTCAGTTGCACAATGGTGTCTGACCCTTTTGACTCTGTGGACTGTAGCCCACCAGGCTTCTCTGTCCATGGGATTTCCTGGCAAGAATACTGGAGTCGGTTGCCATTTCCTATTCCAGGAGATCTTCCCTACCTGGGGATTGAACCCACATCTTCTGCATTAGCAGGCGGATTCTTTACCACTGAGCCTCCTGGGAAGCCCTTTAACTACTGGACTGCTGGGGAATTCCTGCCAAGATCTTGTCTTGTGTGAGGGAAGTGGTACCCCTACAGCACTGTTCAGTTAGATGGATCTAACAGCTGATATGGGTGAGTTATCAGGAAACCCATGGAATTAATGCAGTGCTGTTGCCTAAGAGCATAGAGAGTCTCTTGGCCCTTTCAGAGTTTGAAGCTGACAGTCTTTTAAATAAATGAGGCATTTGCAGTTTGATGTTAGGGAATGATAGATTTTTGTTTTTCAAATTTAAAGTTGACTTTAAAAAACTATAAAAGCAAAAAAAAAAACTATAAAAGCAACATTAGGTAGAAAAAAAATCAAGCAGTATAGAAAAGTAAAAAGAAGAAAGTAAAAGTAATTTTAAATACCACCACCTGGAAGTAACAATTACCAGGATATGCTGAACATTCCTCTAGATATTATTGCATGAAGTATGCATTCATTATTCTTAATTTTTTTTTAAAAAAGTGTGTGCTTACAGAAAAAATTCAAAACTGTTTTCATCACACTCTTTAGTGTAGATACATGAATGTTTATGAATTGATAATCATTCAGTTCAGTTCACTGGCTCAGTCGTGACTGAGCCAAAGTCCGACTCTTTGCAGCCACATGGACGACAGCACTCGAGGCTTCCCTGTCCAGCACCAACTCCTGGAGCTTGCTCAGACTCACGTCCATCGAGTCAGTGATGCCATCCAACCATCTCATCCTCTGTCGTCCCCTTCTGCCTTCAATCTTTCACCATCAGGGTCTTTTCCAATGAATCAGTTCTTTGCATCAGGTTGCCAAAGTATTGGAGCTTCAGCTTCAGCATCAGTCCTTCCAATGAATATTCAGTCCTGCTTTCTTTTAGGATTGACTGGTTGGATCTCCTTGCAGTCCAAGGGACGCTCAAGAGTCTTCTCCAACACCACAGTTCAAAAGCATCAATTTTTGGCACTCAGCTTTCTTTATGGTCCAACTCTCACATCCATGTAATCATTCAGCCTTTAGTAAATCTTTGTGTGTCTGTTGTGTACTATGAGCTATATACTATAAGCACACTAGACTGTGCTTACTGTGAGTGATGAAGATTTCTCTCATAAAGACCTTAGGAACTTTAGTTCAAGTAAGAATGATCAGACACCTATCTACATAAATAATATAGTAAGAGAAAACAATGTTTTCAAGAGGAACATTTGGATTATAAAGAGTTATCTGAGTTCAAAAAAGGGAGACACAGTTTTCTACCTGGGGAGGGAGAAGTATCATGGAAATGTGATATGACTTGAACCTTGGAAGATTTTAGTGTACAAAGATAGAACTGGAAGCACTGTGGATTGAGGAGATAACCAGGAACAGGGATGGGGATCAGGGAGAAGTGGAGACCTGTAGAGGAAATAACATGTAGTTAACTAATAACAACTAATAATTTCTGTACACTTAGTAGGTACTATTCACTTTACATGAATTATCTCATCCTCTTTACTCTGATGTAAGTATTAAAACCTACTCTGGGGCTTCCCTGTTAGCTCAGTTGGTAAATAATCTGCCTGCAAGGCAAGGCAGGAGACCCTGGTTCAATTCCTGGGTCAGGAAGATCCACTGGAGTAGATAAAGGCTACCCATTCCAGTATTCTTGGGCTTCCCTTGTGGCTCAGCTGGTAAAGAATCTGCCTGCAAAGCAGGAGACCTGGGTTTGATCCCTGGGTTGAGAAGATCCCCTGAAGAAGGGAAAGGCTACCCACTCCAGTATTCTGGCCTGGAGAATTCCATGGATTGTCAATTCCATGGGGTCACATAGAGTCAGACATGACTGAACAACTTTCAAAAAAAAACTCTGTTTTGGGGAAAACTTAGGCTAAGTAACTGGTCTATAATTGCATATTAAGAAATATGTTGTCAGATAAGGATTTGAAGTTCATCCCTGCTCTTAAGCATATATGCCTTATAAAGAAGAATGTATTCTGCAGGCATTGATATGATATTTCATTGCATGCATGGACCCTAGTGTACTTACATAGTTACCTGTTACTACACATTTAAATTTTGGCAGCAAAATGTAAAATATTTGTGTTTGGCTTGGTCTGGATGGAAAGTACCCTCATGCAGTTTCACTGTTCTCCATGTATTTTAGGAGCAGCAAATGGGTTTCTCATGGAAGTGTGTGTTGATTCAGTGGAATCAGCTGTAAATGCAGAAAGAGGAGGTAAGAGAAATTATGGAATGAATGGCAGTTGGCAGTCTGTTAAGAGTTTGAAAATGAATCCTTTGAACTTGAGAACCTTTGTGATCTCTAAAGAAAACAACCAACCAACTAGAAAACCTACTGATCTTCTAGTCTTACTTCCCCAGTAGATTACATTTTGAGTCAAGTGTCCATGATAGTGATTATGAACCTACTTTTTTTAAAATTGAATTTAGCAAAGATATGATTTTTTCCAAGCCATTAATTTTAGAGATTTGATGTTTTTTTCATTGTCAAGACTTATCATTATTTCTTTTTTTTTTTTGAATGTTATATATTTTACCTCAAGATTTCTTTTGCACCCTAACTTGCTTTAATAAGAAGCATAGAAATTCCCATCATCTCAGGATCAGAAAAATTTTTAGACTTCATTATGGAAAATTTCAAACATATACAAAAATAGAATGGTATAATGAATTACCACATACCCATCAGCTTTAATTATTTTCAGTACATGGCCAATCTTTCAGTTGTATCAGGGGTGAGCAGACTTTTTGTAAAAAGCAAGACACTATGTATTTCGACCTTGCTGGCTACATTTGGTCTCGGTCATATTTACTTTTTTTTGGTCATGCTACAGGGCTTACAGAGTCTTAGTTTTCCTCACGAGGGATTGAACCTGTGCCCTCAGCAGTAAAAAATTGGGAGTCCTGACCACTGGACCACCAGAGAATTCCCACTTCTTAGTTTTTTTAAATAATCCTTTGAAAGGGTAAAAACCATTCTTAATTTGGCAATTAAAAAGAATAAAGTACTGGTCAATCTGCAACACAGATAAATATTGAAACACTATTCTAAATGGAAAAAAGTAAAAAAATACCACATATTATATGATTCAACTTATATGAAATGTCTAGAATAGGCTAATTTTTTATAGACTGAAAGATTCTTGGTTGCCATGGATTGAGGAGCACTGGGGAGAAGAGAAAGTGACTGCTTAAATGGTGTGAGGTTTCTTTTGGGGGTGTTGAAAATGTTCTAAAATTGCCTAGTGGTGATAGTTGCCAAATTTTGTGAGCATGATAAAAACTGTTGAATTGTATACTTTAAATGGGCAAACTGTATGATATGTGTGTTTTTCTTAAATACATAAAAAATTTTTAACTTGTATGCTGTAACAAAAACAAACTTGTAAGCCTTTGGCCTCTAGACTATCTGATCTATATTCCTACCTTTCTTACCCCATCCCCAAATTATTTTGAAGCAAATCCCAGACATTATGTCATTTCATCATCAAGTATTTCAGTATCCCTAAAAGGTAAAGTATCCCTGAAAACCACAATCACAGAAAACTAACCAATCTGATCACATGGATCACAGATTTGTCTAACTCAATGAAACTATGAGCCATGGAATGTAGGGCCACCCAAGATGGACAGGTCATAGTGGAGAGTTCTGACAAAATGTGGTCCACTGAAGAAGGGAATGAATGGCAAACCACTTCAGTATTCTTGCCTTGAGAACCCCATGAACAGTATGAAGAGGCAAAAAGATAGGACATTGAAAGATGGACTCCCCAGGTTGGTAGGTGCCCAATATGCTACTGGAGTTCAGTGGAGAAATAACTCCAGAAAGAATGAAGAGATGGAGCCAAAGCCACAACATCACCCATTTGTGGATGTGCCTGGTGATGGAAGTAAAGTCTGATGCTGTAAAGAGCAATATCACATAGGAACCTAGAATGCTAGGTCCATGAATCAAGGCAAATTGGAAGTGGTCAAACAGGAGATGGCAAGAGTGAAAATTGACGTTTTAGGAATGAGCAAACTAAAATGGACTGGAATGGGTGAATTTAATTCAGATGACCATGATACCTACTACTGTGGGCAAGAATCTCTTAGAAGAAATGGAGTAGCTATCATAGTCAACAAAAAAGTCTGAAATGCGGTACTTGGTTGCAATCTCAAAAATGACAGAATTATCTGTTCATTTCCAAAACAAACCGTTCAGTATCACAGCAATCCAAGTCTATTCCCTGACCAGTAATGCTGAAGAAGCTGAAACTGAACGGTTCTATGAAGACCTATAAGATCTTCTAGAACTAACACCCAAAAAAGATGTCCTTTTCATTATAGGGGACTGGAATGCAAAAGTAGGAAGTTAAGAAATACCTGGAGTAACGGGCAAATTTGGCCTTGGAATACGGAATGAAGCAGGGCAAAGGCTAACAGAGTCTTGCCAAGGGAATGCACTGGTCATAGCAAACACTCTCTTCCAACAGCACAAGAGAAGACTCTACACATGGACATCACCTGATGGTCAATACTGCAATCAGATTGACTGTATTCTTTGAAGCCAAAGATGGAGAAGCTCTATACAGTCAGCTAAAACAAGACCGGGACCTGACTGTGGCTCAGATCACAAACTCCTTATTGCCAAATTCAGACTTAAAATGAAGAAAGGAGGGAAGACCACTAGACCATTCAGGTATGACCTCAATCAAATCCTTTACGATTATACAGTATAATTGACAAATAGATTCAAGGGATTAGATCTGACAGACAGAGTGCCTGAAGAACTATGGACGGAGGTTCATGACATTGTACAGGAGGCAGGGATCAAGACCACCCCCAAGAAAAAGAAATGCAAAAAAGGCAAAATGGTTGTCTGAGGAGGCCTTACAAATAGCTGTGAAAAGAAGAGAAGTGAAAGGCAAAGGAGAAAAGGAAAGATATTCCCATTTGAATGCAGAGTTCCAAAGAATAGCAAGGAGAGATAA